TCACTTTGTCCCTACACTTTCTGATCTCTCCAGAGGTAGCTTTTGTTCCATTCCTTGGAGGTCTTTTGCTTTTGCTTAATCACCTGTTTGAGATGCTTGTTCATCCAGCTTGGTCTGCAGCCTTTCCCTAGAAATTTTTATTCCTTGCTTGGGATGCAGTCTCCTTCAAGTTAAAGGAACTCCAAGGCTCCTTCCCCTTCAGATCTTTGAGTTGTCCAGTCCACTTCTCTAATTCCCTTAATTTATTAAAGATTGCCCTTTTGATACCAAGGGACCTAGCTGCATATTTATTTTTGTTTACCCTTCCATTTAATTTAAACTGAATTAGCTCATGATCACTCAAACAAAGGTTGTACTCTATAACCAGCTATTTTCTGGAGGGCCTCACTACTCACCAGCACCAAATCTACACAAATCTAAGTTCATTAAGCAGCTTTTTGGTGAAGTAGTATCAGCTATCACAGTGTCTCTCAACCTTTTTTTTTAATAAAGTACACCTTTAAAAAAAAAATATATATATATATATATATATAAGTACCCCCAGTACCTATAGTTTTTAGACACACAATTTTTTTTCTACCATTGCAACACATTTGTTTAAACAACTTAATCGTAGCCGGGCAGGCAATGAAATTTTTGGGTGTAAAAAGTACAAAAATAATAAAATGCTGTAAAACATAAAACAAAAAATCAGTTTTCTCCAAATTTCAGTTATGTTGATGTACCCCCCCAGACTTCTCTTGAGTACCCCTGAGGGTACCACTGGTTGAGAAACACTGAGCTATCACATCTAAGAAAATTTGGGCCCTACTATTCTTAGTACCACTTGTCCTCAAAACTATATCTGGGAAGTTAAAGAATTACATAATTCCCATTAATATTTATTTTCAATAAAAACAAAGAGGTCTCTATCCTTATCCAAATTGGATCACGGTGAACCTCTAATATTGCCCCAAAGTGATTTTAGCTCAAACAGACTGCCTAATACATTTCATTACTTCTAATTTTACAGACTAATACATAATGCTATTTCACCACCTTTATTTTTGTCTTTCTTGAACAGCCTTCAATATCTGTATTGCAATCATGACTACTATTCAACTATGTTTATCATCCCTATAATATCTGGTTTCACTTTCTGCACCAGTAGTTCTAGTTCTTGTCACCCAGGCTCTTTGCGCTTGTGAACAAACATCTTACTTGTTGCTTCCTGGCTTGACCCACATTAAGAAGGACCAGTCTCCTAGTCACTGCTGTTCTGTTTGCCATTGCTTTGTCCTTTCTTGATTCTCCCCCCCCAGTCTGGAAATCCCATGAGCATCTCCCCCGAGTTTCTAGTTCAAAGCTCTTTCAGTCAGTTGTGCCAATCTCCATCCCAAGTGTCTATTTCTCTGCCTACTCAAGTGAGTCCATCCCATGAGAATAATCCTCCCTGCATGATTGCCTCCCAATGGGCAAAGATTCAAAAGTCCGCCTGAAAGCACCTCTGCTAAGCCATCTGATCATCGTCATAACCTTGTCTCACCTTCAATCTCCTGCTCTAGGGAGGGAAAGAATCCCACTATCATCTCCCACAACTTGCCGTAGTACCAATCTAGCTGTAACATTTGTTCCCTCATAAAAGATAATCAGTGGATTCTTTCTTGCTCCCCTTCAGATCTCTTCAGCCTTTGCTCCTGGCAGACACTCATTCTTCTGCTTTTCGGAACAGCTCTAGTGACAGGCCTCTCTCTTTTTCTTGGTAGGCAATCAGCAGTCGTGTAGACCTGCCATTTCCTAATGTTAGTACAATTCTCTGGCCTCTCTTTCTGGCTGCAAGTCCTCTTGTTTTTTATTCTTCCTTGCAATCTTCTGCAGGCCATCCTCTCTCCTCTGAAATTTTCATTGGCTCTTCCCCTCTGCTTATAGAAGGCTTAAAGAACCCAGCCCTCTTTTTCCCCTTCATTATCCAACTCCGCAGACCTGTTCCTTCACTAGGCGCACTCTTCCTCTGCCTGCTTCCTATAGTCACATGATTCCACTGCCCACTTTCCTCACTTAACAGTCTCCCCTCAGAGTTCTTCAGTCTAGCTTGCTTCTGCAAGTTTTAACTTTTCCTGTCTGCCTCCCCTTGCTTTTGCTCTATCATCTATGCAAATTCCCTTCGAAATTCAGCCAGTTTCCACCTACATCTCCAAACCTCAGGTCTTCTCTTCCATCAGGAGGCATTTCATACAAAGCTCCTTTCATGTACTGCAAGATTATGTACAGCTCCCTCTCCCCCCCCCCCCATGCAGATCCAGTCATCTTCATTTTCCATTCTATTGCTTGACTTACTATCACTGCTGCCTCCGCATCTGTCATAGCCTTCCCACCTAAAGTTCCATCAGCCAAAAAAGAAAAGCAAAATCCCACACACTCCCTCCTCCAAACTCCCACGCAATCAAATCTCTCCTAGTTAGAAGTCTGTTTGCTGGTGTCAAAGGCAAAAATGAGGCAGCATTTAGCAAGTTAATAGACTCGTGATAACTCACCAGCAACTGATGGCGACACAAAGATCCATTTTATCCTGTTTGGGCGAGAGGGGAAGCAACAAGGGTTTCTAGCCTCCTCTGCTGGGAGATCTTCAGAAAAGCCACCTCATCCAGTGTAGAAAGTATAAGTTTTCAGCAAGGTTCAAATATGCTCACGTGCTCTGCTGTGTTCCACTCCTGTATGAGTAGGAGATATTCTTTTTTTTTTTTTTCCCCCTCACTGGCAGGCACCAAAATTAACTGTCCATAGAGAGCTGTGCTATGGACTCCTCCCTCTTTTCTCCTCTATTTTAAGAAAGTTGACATTTCCGGTATTATTACGCAATCCATAATCTAGATGATATTCCTCTTTCGAAAGAGGAATGCGAATGAGGGAAATAAAAAATGCACATGAAGCACTGATTTACAAATCTCGTGCTTCATTTGTATAATCTCTTCTGCTCGCTTTTTTTGGAAGTTTGAAACAAAACCCTTTTTTGAAAGAACCCCATGTGCCTCATTTTTTCAGGAATAAGGGTTCTTTCGAAAAAGGGTTGTACTTTTGAAAAGAACCCTGTCTAGAATTTTTTTTTCAAAAAAATCTTTTCCAAAGAGATCAGAAGAGATTAAGCAAATGAAGCATGAGATTTGTAAATCACTGCTTTTATTTGCATTTTCAATTCCCCTCATTTCCATTCCTCTTTCGAAAGAGGAATGTAGTCTAGATGCACCTAAATGAACACCTCATGGGTGAGAGCTAGCTAGTTCCCACTTCTAAGCTCTTGTTGCAGGCTCTCTGCAAATTGAAGCATACAACTGGCAAGTAACCAATGCCATTTCACCTTTTTTTTTTTGACACCTTAGATTCTGGAATATATGGCAGGGAGGAAAGGTGCCACATAAATGCCATTTCACCTTTTTTTTTTTTGACACCTTAGATTCTGGAATATATGGCAGGGGGGAAAGGGGCCATATTTTGTATGTCATGCACATCCCTTCATTTCAAACTGTGAGGGGTCTGTTTAGTGTGACAAGGTCCCAGCCCTGCACTGGTAGGTGCACGCAGGTGGATTTTTTAGCCTCAGAGATTCCTAAGTGACCCACTTTCATCAAGGCCCATAGGGGAGGTGGGAAGGGGGCTAGCCCAGTCTCTGTTGCCTCTTTAGGCATGGTGGAAACAGTTTGACCTCTTCTCCCCTCAGATACATCCCCTCTACTGATTGCGGGAACAGGGGGCAGTGTGAAACTCAGTCAAACCTTTTTCTCAATCCCCTCCTGAACTCTGACCTCAGCGCTCCCTTTCCTGTGGCTTGGTGTTTTTAATACTCAGTCCTTTGACTGCACTTGTTCCCCTCTACGGGAGACTGACTGGAGGGAGAGCTTTTAAACAGCATGAGTGGGGCCTTGGTTGGTTCTAGGGCTATATTAGCCTAATGGCCTCAACAGATTCTTTGCAGGTTCATTGGAGTCATGTATCTTGATCAGCACAAAGTAGCCTTTGTTTGGCTACCCAGGGAACAGGGACCGACTCGTTCTGAGGCTGACATATTTCCCTTGCACTACTTTTATACATGTCTGGTCTGAGTCCATCGCATTAGAAATGACTAGACGCATGAGCACAGGATTCTGGCAAATGGTGCCTACTCTGAGCAATCTGTACAGACAGCAGTTTAGATATAGCTGAAACAGAAGAAATGTCTGTAAATCACTGCCTTAGCAAAAAGCTGCTCTGGGCTTAATGGAAGACCTCCATGTTAATCATCTTCCTGTAGCACTCATACACGCTGTGAGCATCTAGGACAGCGCTACTCAACACGTAAGCCATGTGTGGCCCATGCCCTGTTTGCTTGTGGCCCGTGGATGGGAGCCAAAACAAAAAAGTAGTCAAAATACTGGTCTTCTGTAGTGATTCCTCACTACATTGCTTTTTATACATTTTAGTAGTTACATTCCTGGAGTGTCAGTGCTCATTAAAAGTGCTGTCATATGGGTGGAAATTGGCTCAATATTGCATTTTATTAATATCAGCAGAATTGACTTAAATGGGGCCTGCATATTGTATAGTTTTGCCTTCATCTCTGTATTTGTGCCCATCAGCGTGAAAGATGCTATTTGCATATACATGCAACCACACTTAAGTTGTGGCCCTCGGCATGTGCTGTGAGTATCACTGTGGCCCCTGGGGCTTCCAAAGTTGAGTAGCTCTGGCCTAGGACCTCAAGCAGCCAAGAAAATTTTCAAGCTCCACCTCCCCTCTCTCAGTAGTCAAGTTATAGCCTCTTCCCAACTCTTCTAAAGCTAAGTTTAAATCTAGGTAATTCACATCATGTGTAAGTTCCATAACACTAACACAGCCTTTCTAACCTTAAATGGATAACATGACAGGAGTGGAGTTGTTTTTTCCTCAAGGGATCCCTAAAGGGATGTCAGAATCCTGGCACTGACCATTTACTCACACACTAGCCCCATCACTCTGGTGTCACTTCAAACACTAATAGAATTCAGGAGTATTTTTGGGTCATTTTATTTTTAAAGTTGTGTTTTTGTACAAAAATGTGCATTTTATTTAAACACCACCATGAAAACCGGTAACAGAACAAGTTCAGTGACTTCCTATTTCCCCATCTTATGAAAAGATTTAGTGAAAGTAACAAATGCTAAACAAAAGAGGAAGTACATTTGCCTGCTTCAAGCCCAGCCAAAAGCCACAGTAATCAAACAAAATACTTTCTGCCCCTCAAACTCTATCTGCCCTACCAAGAGAATAGGGAGCACGTCTCATCCTGCTTGCTGAAGTCCTTTCTTCCCCCCACTCTACCACTTTCTCTCAATCAGTTCAACTGGGTCCCCTAGGAGAGAGCTCTCTGCCAACCACTCCAATGGGAAAGGGGCTTGGCTCATTCACTGGCAGAGGCTACCTCCCCCCTCCAACAAAATCAAGGTATTTCATGAGTCCTATGTTTACCTGTAGCTGCTGGTTTTCAAATGGGAGCCATTCCAAAGTCATAGAAAACTGCAGCTCTCACTTCCCCAACCAGCAGGGGCCACAGAAGCACCATCATTGTGGCACAACTGAGCAGGGATGGATACAACCCACAGGCAAAGCTGACCTGTCCCACCCCTACAGCTTGAGTGAATTTAACAGCTCACCCACTAGGGAAGCAGTGCTACATTGGAACATACAGGCTTGGCCTGTATTCCTCACTAGATTGCTTTTTATGTAACTGCCAGAGAGTTACCTGGAGTCAGCATTGGGTACAGCACTGCTCTCACAAAGGTGTTCCCTTCTTAAAATTTAAGTCTAGACTATTTCACAGCAAAGCAATTTCCGTACTAACTTACACCATTGTTTCTTAGCAGGACATAGTAAGGATCACTACTTTAAAGACTCTCTAGCCACACTCTACTTAGGGAAAGCTTGCAACAGAAATCACATGACACTGCTGTCTTTAGGTACCTGTCTTTGACCTGGGAGTCTGTTTCATTTTCAGGTTCTTGCTCAGCAGCATGTCATGATATTTGGCTTCCCAGCAACAAGAGGGGTGGTTTAAAGAGAGACTATTTTCCTTGTCCCTTTTCAATACAAAAGAGTCATTGACCCCATTCTTCAGCACCACCTCCCCCGTTTAATTCAACAAAGGTTATTTGGTAACTGCTCTTTGTGGTAGCTGAAAGAAATTGACCTGCACTGTTCAGGAAAAGGAAAGATTGCAAGCTGGCTGTGGCTTGCTCCAGCCCTGCTCAAGATCTGGTTAGAGTGAAGCGATCCCTGCAGTGATTACACTGGGCAGAGGGAGAAGGCGGGCAGCGAATGCTTTGCTTGTGTCACAGCGCAGAAGCGAAGAAAGCAGAAAGTGCATTTAAATAATTAAAAAAATCCAGTGTCTCTCAGACTGAATAAACTTTAGAGGGAACACAGAAGTGCGCCCCCTAATTTTAGCTGTTTCTACGTCATGATCCCCACCCCAAGTTTCTCCCTAGACCTTACTAAGGGAACTCCCAGGCCTGCCAGGCACGGAATGCTGGAGAAGCATTATTTTCATCTCATAGCCACGCAGAACTCTGAATAAATACTATTCTCCCCTGCTGCACAGCAGTCCGCTTAAGCCCATCACAGCTTTACATTCAGAGGATGTGCCCTTGGGCCAGCGCTGCTCTGAAATGGGGGATTCTGGATAGCAGGGGGTGACATAGCAGCTGTGGAAAAAGCAAATAGTTTAAAGAAAACCTAAGAGGGGGACTGTGAAAGGAGAAGAGGTTAGGTAACACCTGGTTACGTGAGGGGAGGGAGCAGAGAGAAAAGGACAGATGTCTAAAGCCTGATCACATTGGTAGCAAATGGTCATCCCGTTCTTCTGATTCCTCTCCCAACTGGTCATCACCCACACCACGGTATGCAGCTGGGGCATTCTGGGGCTTAGACCGACAGACGAAATCACAACCATCCTGCAAAAACAAGTTATTGTACTGGGATCAGATTACATGCAACTACGGTTGCCAACTCTCTAATCACATAAAATCAAACATGTATACCCTGCCCCTGCCTGCTCTATCCTCTCCCCCTCCCCATGGCTTGGAATTTCTGGTGCAGGAGAAGGGTTAAGATGTGTGGGCTCTGAGAGAGAGTTTGGATGAGGAGAGGACTCCAGGCTGGGGTTAGGACTTGAAATGTAAAATCCCAGTGGCGCTTACCATGGTTCCCAGGAAGTGGCTGCTAGGTCCCTGCAACCCCAGGGCACAG